AGGAAGAAGGATGCAGAAATGGGGAAGGAGATAGCCAAAGTCCTGGAAGGTTTTGTGAGACGAAAAGTCATCAAACAGACTGTCATGACAACTGTATATGGGGTGACTCGATATGGTGCTAGACTGCAGATTGAGAAACAGTTGAAAGGTATGTGGATGTTTCATGCTAGGACTAATTCCATATTTTATTTTTCCATTTTTGTACAAATTTATATCACCATGCTCTTCATTTCTCTACTATCACTATACTCATCATTCCTCTCCTAACTTCCTTCACAATAACAACAACAGCTGAAAATTTCATTGTTATGTGCTGCACTGGTTATTTCCTTACCACTTACCCCTATTCCAGTTGCCACTATTCTTGGGGTCAAGTGAAACTGTATGGATTCCCATGGTACATATAATATATGCATTTTTTTTTCAGTCTGTCATTAGAACTCGGTATTTATTCTCTCTTCCAGTCTCATAGGAGTAGAATCTCAAGATTGTAGTAAAATGAATGTCTTGATATATAAATGTATGGGTTGTGTGTCCTTTTAAGTAATTTCCAAGTTACTAAAAGTCCAGCAATATGAATAGAATGAGTTGCCAAATAGATTTGAAAAAAGTTATGTTTTAGGTGGCGAACAGTGTCTATTACAGTATTAGGGTATTTTCTATGGTGTAGTTAGCATATTTTACAGATAGATATTTAGATTTTCCTTCCAGGGAATATAAAAAGGCTTCAAACAGGAACACAATTAGACACTGTCACAATATTTTTATACAATAAAAATTCTTAGTTTAAAGCCTGTTTGGTAGCATGATGCCTTTTAGTTTCTGAATCTACATAGTATAATTCAATTCTATTGAAGATAAGCATGTTTACTTTAATGCATAATCTGCTTTTGTTGTGCTACCCATCAAACCTATTTGTCATCTGTTAAGAATGAATACTCCAAAGAATATACCATTTTCTCAGAAATCTGCTTTAACCCATTCGTCCCGGGTGTCACATATATGAGACACAGGGAAAAATAAACAGTGTCGGGCTGCCCGCCAGTGCGATGCTGTCTCGGAGCCGCGCTCCGAGGCAGAAGCGGCGCGCGGCGGTGGGGGACAGACTCCGGGGAAGCTCCGCCCACCGATTTGTAGCTGCCCGGATTTTTTAAATTTTGGCTACAAAATGTACCCGGCGCGGGTGGTTAACATATTTCTGGGATTAGCATGTTATTTTTTATTGTTTCTGTTGAAGCTTTGCCTATGAGGCCATCATCATTTCCATCCTCCCTTCTCTTTTCTCCCTTTAGGATTACATTTCTTTCCCAACTCCTTAAGCCTGTACAAATAAGAAGAAGACATCAGACTTCTATTATTTCCTCCCATTGCAGCCTTGGATGACTTTCCCATGGACCAGCGCTGGGCAGCTTCACAGTATCTGGTACACAAGACATTCCACAGCCTCGAGAAAATGTTTACTGCCACCAAGGAGATCCAGGATTGGTTCACCGAGTGTGCACGTGTTATTGCACAGGTGATTTGGTGTATATTGTTTTCTAGGTTGTAAGCAACTTATTTTTTTTTTGCTGTTTTTTCTTCTTCTTCTTCTTCTTCCTTTTTCTTTTTTCTTTTTTTTTTCTTCCTATTTTTTCCTTTTTCTTTCTTTTTCTTTGTCTTTTTCTTTTCTTTCTTTCTTTTTTTACCCCTGCCATTTCATCCTGGTGACAAGGATGTCTTGTTATAAAAAAATTGGCCAAGGATGGTCATTAGGAATGTTTTACCATTGAATATTATTATTATTATTATTATTATTATTATATTATTATATTATATTATTATTATTATTATTGCTATATTATTATTATATTATATTACTGCTATTATTATTATTACAATTATTACTGCTATTTTATTATTTTTTATTATTATTACCACTATTATTATTACTACCATTATCATTATTGCTGTTATTATTATTACATATTATTATTGTTGTTGTTTTTATTAGGTTATTATCTGTGCTAAAATTGCCAACAAATGCTACAATTCCAAGTCTTTTGCCTGGCCATGCAAATCATGGTATGTAGCTTTTGTTAACAAATTGAATGCAGATGATACAAATGGTAATTGCTGACTGATAATAAATATACCATCCTGCCATGCACTAGCTTCAGTGATATATGAATTACGTTTAGAATTTTAAGACAAAATTGTCCGTTATGTTGTAATTTCTTGAATCCACCATATGCAGTCATCCATACGACTTGTGAAAAGAATATATGAAAATCAGTTGTTGCAGTTGTTACCAAACAAAATATTGCTGGAAAAATAGATAAGGGATGGAAACTCATTGTTTATGGACGCTGCATTATATCCAGTAATGCCTGCTAAACAGTTCTGTTCTCTTCTCACACAGACACGGAGTGAGAACATAGAGTGGGTAACACCTTTGGGCTTCCCCGTGGTGCAGCCATACAGCAAGACATCGGGGAATAAAATCTGTATGGAAAAGTTACCATCATCCTATAGCATGGATTCATTTATGTGAGTTTGTCCTGTAGACTTCCCTGTTTTTTCATTTAGGAGGTGATCCGTATATTGAGCAAAGGTCATGAGCAATAGAATTGACTTATGGGAATTAGAAAATCACATGGGCCATTCCAAATTCCTGTGTCAAGGCCTATGACAAAGCTATTTGTCTGATTTATAAGCCATGTAGCACCCTTTTTGAACCCATTTTCTTTTTTCCTTTTTTTTACTATTTTCTTTTATAAACTTTAGGATAAATGTTAGGTTGATAAAAGATAATAATTAAAACTTGACTGGTTAAAAAGACCTGAAATTTTTCAATATTCTCAAAGAGGACATGTATAACACTACCCAATCCACAAGAGTGGCAAGAGAAATATTAACATAGATCTTCACCTCTTTCAGGCGTCCAAACGTAATGAAGCAGAAGAATGCTTTCCCACCTAACTTCATCCATTCTCTTGACTCATCACACATGATGCTTACCTCACTTTTCTGCCAACAAGCAGGTATCACCTTTGTCTCAGTTCATGACTGTTTTTGGACACATGCCAACACAGTGGACATCATGAACAAGGTATGTGATAGGTTGGCTTTATTGTATTATGGTATTATTATTTGAACATTTTTAATGAATTTCTGTATATACTATTAAGCATTGCATCCCTCAAGGGGTTGAGATTTTGTTAGTTCTTAATCCAGCATATCTTTTTTTTTCTTTCAATTTCTCATCATGGAAGGAAAGGAATTGCTTTTTTTCTTTTCTTTTCTTTTTTTCTTTTTTTTTTTCTTTTAAGTCTCTGTCCCTCTTTTAGAATTGGATTTTTGCGGTTGTTCTAGGGATGTCTTCTTTTTCTTCCTTTCTTTCCTCTCTTTTTTTCTCTCCCTTTCCAGATGTTCTTTTTATAACCTACTTCACTCACCTTACCTCCTACCCACACCATTCTTTATTATTCATTTTTGTTATTCCTAATTACAGGTGTGTCGCAACCAGTTTGTAGCCCTACACAGTGAGCCTATCCTGGAAGACTTATCATTATTCCTCCAAGAGAAATTTGGTTATGATCGCAGGTAATGTCAAAATAAAAGAATGTTTATCTGGGGGTAAAAAAATATTTGCACTTTCCTTAGATTATTTTGAAATTAAAGAGGGGGGGATGTCATTGAAAACTAGAGAATGTTATTGGAATAGTATTTCATTTCACAATTGAAGGAATATTTTTCATGATATTTTTTTTATAGATGTTTGTACTTGGTCATGGCCTGCC